CACATTCCCAATATAAAGTATTACAACTTGAAGACATTATGGCTAAAGTAGAGTACAGGCAGTCCCCGAGTTGCAAACATCCAACTTACAAATGACTCAGATTAGAACAGTGGTGAAACAACAGAAAGTGAGAGAAATCTACCTCTAGGAAGGGAAATTCACCCCTGAAAGAGTGATCATGGGGAAAAGTTGTCTCCAGTGAAGCTTTATCACCAATCCTTTTTCTACAACAAGCCAGATTTTTCAAAATCCAATTATCACAGGGACAGAAGGTGAGGTGAAATCTTCTCAATAGGGGCAAGGTAGCAAAACAAACATTAAGGGGTGTTCACCCTTCCCTATACTATCCAAAGCATATATGTATATGTATGCTGGAGTTACACTTAAAACGTACTTCTTCTGATTTACAAACAAATTCATCATAAGAACAAGTCTACATAAGCTATTTTGTTTGTAACTTGCAGACTGCATGTATAGGACTTTTGGGGAACATCAGATAAAAACAGAGAACATATAAAATTTGATTCAAATTATCTATAAAAACTAAAATGTAGTTAGCCAGTTAAATTATATCTTCAAAAGACTATGTGTGACTTCATAACTACACGGAGCTGCAGTTCAAAAATAAAGTGATGAAAGAAAGTTTTCTTATGCAAGATATTGTTTTTCTCTTTACATTTACATCTCTTTCTCTGTACTTCTTGCATATGTATTGCAAGCTCTTAAGGAGAAAAAAATTAGCTCCTACCCCTTTTTGATCAAACAATATACTCTAAGAAAAGCTCAATCTAATTCATAAAATTTGCATTATACAGAATGAATATGACTTGAGTTTTTCAAATTTTGGAATACTTGTATTTGCATAAAAATATGAGACATCTTAGAGATGGGACCCGGGTCTAAATGCAAATTAATTCATGTTTCATATATACACCTTATATACATAGCCTTAAGGTAACATATAAGATGTTTTAAAGGTGTTCATGTATGAAACAAAGTTTGTGTACACTGAATTAGCAGAAAGCAAAGGAGTCACTATTCAGTCACCTATGTGAACAACGTTGGAGTATTTCAGATTTCAGGATTCCAGATAAAGGATGTTCAATCTGTACACATTTTACCATTCTGCCATTCTCAGTAAATGAACTTGTTTATAAAACTCCAGTCTGTATGCATATATGAACCTGTGTGTGAGTTTTTCATTTTAACTGAGCTCTTCCACAGTTTTGGGGGTTTTTTTTGTTATTTGTTTTTTTTTCTTTTGCAATTTGTGCAAAATGAATTCTATTGTTACTGTAGTTGAACTGTCACATCATCACTCCTAAAAATGAAAATAATTCTCAACAACATACAAAATGTTTGGTATTTTTAAGGCTGCAGCAGAAAAATCTACATTTCAGAAAAATGCATTTCTGCAGCGGTTTAACTCAGCTTTTCACGCCTTCAAAGAATATGTAGTATCTGATTGTCAATATCTTAGAGAAACAAATCCAGACTGTAAAGAATGATACTTAGGGGGAAAAATCATACTTAAACAATGTTATTTGTATGAAATGTATTTATTACATTTCTAAGCACCCCAGGCGATCTACTATAAAAACTATCATAAATACTTATCATAAGATAAAAGAAAAAAGAAGTGCAAAATCATATGATATCATAAAATTTGAGAGTATCATTAACATATAAATTGGACGGGTGACACAAAACACATTAAAAGACTGATAAAATCTGCTGCCTTTCAACAGGAAATAAAAAAGAAGGCATCACACTCCCTCAAGGAGTGTGGGGCTAAAGTACCAACTGTCATGGTATAACCCTTATGGAACTGCCATATTCATGCAACCTATTTTCACAGTTCATGCTACAGTCCCAGATGTGTTGTTATATGTGAGGAGGGGATGGAGTTATAGGTAATATAAGATTTGGCCCTCCCTCCATGTGCCACTGGCAAGGTCTCTTAGTACAACGTGAGCACTATCAGTCACTTTATTGCCACTGCAAGAATGGTGTCAATAAATAGGTTTCAATCTTGTAGGTAGTGGGTAAGCAGGTAAGAGTTCTCATGTACACTTTAGCACCTATTTGGTGTAGGGAACTATCAAATGCCTTCTGAGATCCAGAGGTGGGTAAAAACTCTGCTATTGAGACAATCTGGGATTTGGAACCTGAAGAAGTAGTCAACGCATGATACCTAGCCTCACTCAGTTAAGCCTACATCAGATTGCCCCCAATTTTGTGTTTCCCAAGAGTATCACAATACAAATAATCAGGTCAAAAAAGTGGCCCCTGTTTAACCCAACAGGTCTCTGATGTCTGGTTGTTTCTGGTTTCATTAATCTATGGCTGGTTATCAAAATTCAATTTGGAAAAAAATGTGTTCACGCCACTCTGAACACCGTTTCCACTTCAGGTAGCAAAGAAGGAGGTCTATTTTCCTAGCCAAAACTCAAGAAACCTCTGAATCTGTATTTGTAATGTCACTGATCTTGCAAGTACTACTGGTCCAGGTCCATGTGGAAAAACAAGATAGTTCACACAACAGAAAAGCAGAAAGCACCCTTTATTAGTACACCAGACAATTCTGCACAGTTGTCAAAAAGAATTGCAGTGCTGCCAGGAAACAGCAGTTTTACTTAACAGTCATTCAGATTTATTGAATGAATATTTTACAGCAAGCATTCTGTTAAGTGACCTGAGAACATATGCTGTATTAGGAGAATCAACTAAACAGTATATTGAATACCAACACTAGTTGCTTCAAAGCTACCCCCACTCTATTCTTTTCTGCATTTACAGCATATAAAAGATTTCTAAACATTGTGATATACATTTAGAGGGTTGATTAGTTATTATTACTGTAGTGTGTGTGTGTGTCGGGGGGGATTACACATACATGTAAATATATTGTTCAACTAGTGAATCGTTTGCTTCTAAAAAGAAAGAAAAACCACATTGGTATCTTATTCAGTATCTATGATGCTGTAAGCTAGAATTATGGCCTTGTAAACTTTGCCATTCGTATTTGCAGTTGTACCATTGCAAAATCTACAATGCTAAAAAAATCTACAATGCATGATGCCCCCAGCTCTCTCCTGCCAGCAAAAAGCTCAGTACACTGTTGATCACTGGCACAGGGAAATTGATGCAACATCCTTTAGTACACCATGTGCCAGTGCCTCAGAATTCCTCAGTTAGTACAGCTGTCTGGTTTCTCAGGTGAGTATGGGAGGATAGAATCAGGACAGATCATTGAGACAGCATCATAACTAATTCTCCCATGGAAGATCTCAGTCTACCACCTAATAAAATAAAAGCATACGGAGATTGTCTCAGAAGAGTGTAAGCAAAGGTGACTCTATCTACAAGTAAACATAGTCCTTGTACCTGCATATTCCATGAAATTCAAGTGTGAGAAGCCTTGGGGTCTTGGGGGGGGGGAGGACATTTCCGGCCTCTTGTTTTTAGGACATATGGAAGACCATTTATCTAATTATTCTGGAGATTTCTGGGAAGTGTGCTGTTGGACACTTACTTGTCTCTTTGGGAATACACGGCTGAATCTCCTTAAGTACAGAAATGGGCTGCTACTGAGTGATGCAACACATTACATACACAATGAACAGCGATCCCTGGTTGATTATGAAGGGAACTTGATGATACAGTGGTAGGAAGGTGATAGACCTGATGCTGATTAATATCTGGTGAAAAGCAAGAAGTTACTAGGTTCTCCATTGTTCAAATACAAGGTTCTTTCTGTAAATGTATATTATCAGTGTGTAGACATATTTACATATCTGTGCATATTTCTTTATATGAACACAAAATACGGTGAAGAAGTAGCACAATGCTCCTATTATATACTATAGCATGAGCATATTTTAACGTGCGGTCTTTTAAAAAGAAGATTTTTCAGTTCATGTTGTTCTGATGCATTTTACTGTTCTAATTCTCTTCTACTGTCCTATATTAATCAAAGCTGTATCCCCTGTTGTCTTTGCACTATTCAGAATGTGCCCCTGGCAAAGAATGAGGGAAAAGTCAACAGGAATTAAGTTTCAGTGCAACTGTTTACTCAACTGTGGCCTGTACTTATTGAAATTTTATCCATGGTTTTGTGTGACTACTGCAGTAATGAATTCAGCATGGCTGTGATTTTCTCACTGATTGTATTCTCACTTCAACTAAGAAACCTATAGAAAGAAAATAACTGAACTAACTGTCCACTGCATTTAGTATCATGCAAATCTCAAACTGCTAAACTACAGTAGATTTATGTTGTGTGCCTTTTTCCAGGGGAAAAAATAGGGTTTTTTTATCCTACCATTTCTACTGGGTTTTTTTCTACTGTGTAACAACCTGCTGACAAGATCATCATATGATCTAAAGTCTCTACAACAGTGCCAAATGTTTCCTTTTTTAAAAAAAACTTCAAGAATGCTTTCAGCACTTTGGAAGAGCAAGTTTTCACCCATAAACAAACCTGCAAACCCTTAAACGGTAAAAAACAAAAAGAACTCCATACCAAGGAATTATTTTAAAAGTACAATTATAATCCTTATTCTTCACAAATCAGAATATTACATATACTCCAAAACTTCCTCAACTCCAATAGTACAATGCATCTAAGATTTTTTAATTGCATTTTTTTAAAAAAATCCAACAGACTGTTGCTACCTTAATCAAAATCTGTTGTAGAAAGAAATATTAACTTTTTTTGTCAAAAACTATTTTGTTCAACACCAACAGGAGGGAATCAGACTGTGACTGTTGCAACATCTGGATGCCTGTGTCAAGAAAGTCTTTGCTGTGAAACAAAGTTAATGTTACCATTTAAACTGCAGTTTACTTCTACAAAATGTAAACCATCAGTATAATAACTCAAGTATCATCTCTCAAGTTCTTATTTTCTGGAAAACACCACCATGTTTTTTACAGGGCCAGAGTGTTTCACTCCCACCCCTTCACCCATAAAATAGTTGTAATATAATTTACAGTACCTGTTGTTGTTGAAGATGGGCTAGATCTGCAGCACCAAGTTCCACGGAAGGTGTCTCTCCGTTTGACCTCACTTCTCGTAGGCTACACTCTAGTAAATGGTTGCCAGAACTTGCTCCATTCTGAATGGCTGAACTGTTACTTTTTGTCTCAGTCCCAGATTCTTGCATCATGACTTAAAAACCTGAAATAATTTAGGGAAGAAAAAAAGAAAATAAGGCCACTGTTAAAACATTTGCTGTATATAAAGAGATGTCTCTTGAAGCTTGCCACAATTGTAAACATTTGTCTTTTCTCTTCCTACAATTTATATTTTCATTAATGGTTCAAGCTACCAGTTTATGTTTATCTATTGCAAGAGCTATATAATTTTAGATGTAAATTCTACTTCTAAATGTAAAAGCAATTACTCACCAGCGTTTCCTTTTGTAATATAAAAAACACAAAGTTAAGTAATTGAATTTCTTTAATTACATCTGAACACTTTACTTGAACCCTATAAGACACTTTGAGGTTTTTTTGTCCATAGTGTATTACCAAAAGACACAAAATGGCATGAGACCGGCTATGAAAGTGTAATGTTGGGGGCAAACTCAGAAAAATAAATCCATGATGGCTTGGAACACCACTCTGCACCCAGATATGGTCATTTGAAATTAATACTATCCAAGCCTTAGCATGAAATCTTCTCCTCATTAAGAATAAACAATAACCTTAACTACCAACATAAGATGACAAATAAAATCAAACTGTGTTTTTATTTTATTCTACTTAATTTTCAGAGTTGCAGTGCTGCAGTTAGAGTTTTAAAAGGACACTGAAGTTAAATATCTAAGATATGATATTTAAACATCTCAGAATTAACAAAAGTTCAAAACCAAGTTGTCTCACCTTAGCAGTAAGTAAAGAAAATAAGTTTTTAGCTTACAGTATTATGCTCAGTGCTAGCCTTTTACTGACTATCATGGCAGAAGAAACTTTTTGGCATATTTCCTATATCATGCTGCTAGCATGGGAACTGAATTATGCATAGAAAAACTCTGGATAACAAGGGATAGCCTATATTGTGGCACTTCCTCGTGGCAAGTTACTGAACTTGTTTAAGCACAAGCTACTGAAATGTATGTGGGTGAACTATAGTGTTGACTCCTTCTGTGTGGAGTCACCTCTCTACCCAAAAATATAGGATGGAAGGAGCTATATTGTCATGCATCCCACTACACCAGCAACATGTAAAAAAGGGTCTCAGTAAAAAGAAACTTATCACTGCAGAAGTGACACCATCATCTGATGATAGAATCCTTTCAAGGAAGATGCCCAAGTTCTCCAAGAGTTACCTTTAAAAGTACCTTCTTCACATAATACAACTTCAGTAAAAAAGATAAAATAGTAAGTATAGGTAACTGAAACAGCTGCAAATGTGGGTGTATTTTAACACTAGCAATCCTGGATTACCACTCAAGATATGAACAAAAAACGAAAGTCATAGCGGAATAGTTCTGTCAAGGTTATATTGCAGAATAACAGAGCTGTGTAACATGTATCACTGTGTGAGACCTTTATAAAACACAATGTATGTGGGAGAATACATCAGCTGCATGCTTCCCCCACGCCACCCTGCAATTTAGTCCTGACAGGTATTGTGAACAGGGTATGCTATAAAAGTTCTTTGGGTTGGACACATTCACTTGAGAAACAAATCCCACCCACTCATTACCAGCAGCAAGAGTTACCTCTACTGATGCCAGGCATAGTCAGCTTCAACATGAATGGACTATACCCACTATGAGTCAAATGTTCTCTGATATTGCAAGGCATTTTTAAAATAGTTCAATTACACATTGGAAGGTGAGTCACTGAACATACTAAGGAAATTAGGTTAGGGCAATAGCCAGATGTTTCTGAGTGTTATTCTGCAATGGAACTCCAGAAGCAGCCACTGATAAGGACTGCCACCTTCTGATGATGCTACATACTCCTCTTTCTCTTGCTATCTGAGCTATTCCAATTAAGGGTCAGAGGGCCACAGAAAGTTCTAAGAACCTTGTTACTCCTGAGATAACAGCATTAGAGTTGACTAAAACATTTGATAGTAATAACGTTTGAAGGAAAGATAATACCATGGCACCAATATTTCCTTTTGCTGCCTAGTGGCCCTGCTGCGATCCTTGGCCGTGGCATACTTGGAAATTGGGGAGGCTGCCACTGCTCAGACTATAAGGTACAGGTTCAATATTCGCATACTCTGATTATATTCACTGAGAGGATTAGAGGTGGAAATTCTAAACCCTGTTTTCATTCAGACTATCAGGGATAGTTTAAGGAAAGGGAGGACTTAGCCAAAAGGTATCTCCATATCCTCCACTGTAGGATGTGGTGGCGAGGAAACAAGGATATGATGCCATTTTCGTGTTTCTGTAAGATTAGTAGTCAATGAATTTACTAGTAAATAATCTCACTATCAGATCAAATCAATGGGCTACTGACTTTTAATTAAAGTGTTAATTACAGTATGTGATTAAAGTGAAACATCCTGAAGAGCGAATTAAAGGCTGGTGGCTTTTTATCTACAAACTGGCGAGTGTGTTTAGATGGTGCTGAATTTATCTTGGGAAGATTGGTCAGTATCTTTGACAGTGTCTTTACACACTAGACTAAAACTCAGAGTGGAATTACCACCACTACAAACATTAAAACATCAACTTGCAAGAATTTATTACTGAAAGGGTATAAACAAACTGATGCTGAACTATATTGCATTGCAAATAAGTTGTCAAGAGAAAAAGGAAATCCTGGTCAAAAATGAACAACTTCCCATTTATTTTTCCAATATTTACTTCTAGCATGGACTACACATTTTTAGATCTATGTTAAATTTCATGAGCATCCATTCAAGTTGCTAAAGATTCGTATTAGCAAACATGTTAATGCCAGACAGTCGGTGAAGATATAAGCCATCTCTTTGAGGAACAAGCTGGTGCAAAACTAAGTCCTGTATTTTTCACATTTGTGATAGATATCAAACTAACAAATAAAATCAGTCTTTATTCCAGAGCAGTTAATTAAGGTTGACCAAGTCAGGCAGAAGTAAATTAACTTGGTTGATCAATTATTTATATGAAGCAGAATAAATGCCCAGACATTTAAGGGTGTGTAAATTAAACCAAACACAGATTGATGTAATGTATTTTATTTCTATGGAGAAGAGAGCTAATGGTACAACCTGTCTGAAGAAAGTGTTTATGTGGTAAGACCTAGTTGAAAAGTGTTCATCTCTGGCAAGAATACTGGGTCACACAATGGAGGCTAAAGTACAGTCAGTTTGCTTGTAACTGAGGTTCTTCAAACAGTCAGCTGTGAATTCAGACATATAGTTATTGTGTATGCAAAGAGTGACACATTCTAAAGCTGAGTTGCTTTTGCTGGGAACTCCATACTCACTCTCTCACTATGCATCTGAAGTACTGTTATATATGCAATGCTTTGTGATATATAAGATTAATATATATTGGGGAACAGCTACAAAATATCTGCCAGACTCTGTGTCATATGAAGCCTGAAGAAAGATGAAATTAGCCAAACAAAATGCCACACTCATCTCAACATCCACTTGGTAAGGACTGGTGGAAGTCTGTGGCTAGGATTATGTGAAAACCTTATGTCAATAAGACATAATGCATGGATAGTAGGGTTGTGCGCGTTCTCATTTCAACAAATGGGCTCTGAGTGGTTCAGCCCTTTTGGCCAGCTGTAACAACAAAGGCTTCACCATTATTTGGGAAGTCTGACTTGGCCATGGTAGTCCATGCTCTGGCTACATACCGTATACACTACTGCAACGCACTCTATGTGGGGATGCCTTTGAAGACTGTTCATAAGCTTCAAATGGTCCAGTGGGCGGCAGCCAGGCTACTAACAGGAGCAGCGCTCAGGGAGCATACAACTCCACTGTTGCACTACCTCCACTGGCTCCCAGTTTACTACCGAGCATAATTCAAAGTGCTGGCTTTAGCCTCTAAAGCTCTAAACAATTCTGGCCCATCTTACCTGTCCAAACATATATCTCCGTACAAACCATTCAGGAATTTAAGATCATCTGCAAAGGCCCTGCTCTCGATCCTGCTTTCATCACAGGCACGCCTGGCAGGGACGAGAGACAGGGCCTTCTCAGTGGTGGCCCCTCGGCTGTGGAACTCCCCTCCTAGGGATATTAGATCGGCCCCCTCCCTCCTGACCTTCTGGAAAAGAGTAAAATCCTGGCTCTTTGAGCAAGCCTTTGGAAACATGACATAATTGGACAAACACAATATGATGAAATAACAAACACGGAATGGCTTAGACAATGTAAATGGATAAGGAGTTGAACTGGAGGACAGTGATTATTGTAGTTTTAAGTGGTTTTATATGGACTTTTATTATGTGATATTAACTGTTTTTAATTGATATGTATGTATGTATGTTGTGGCATTTAATTGTTGCCAATCTGTACACCGCCCTGAGTCGCCATCGGGCTGAAAAGGGCAGGATAAAAATGCTGTAAATAAATAAATAAATAAATAAATCCCCCCCCCTCCCCGGCCGCAACAGACCAGTCAGCTGCCAAAGACTACTGCTTCTTGTTTCTTTTGGCTACATGTGGAGTGCAGAAAGGCACCTGTATGCCTGCACGGCGTTTCCCTGTGAGCCTTGCCTGTTGAGCCGATCAGAACAGAAGAAAGTCATGGCGTGTCGTTTAGCCAAGCTGGGCTTCCATTTTTCTGTTGCTAGCAGGCTTCTGAGACAGACAGATTGGTTATCTAAATTCTCAGTGCTTCTTGCAGCTCTGCATGGCTTGGCTTACTTTTTTTTTATTAAAATAGCAATAAATAAGAAGTTTACTTTCTGCACACTTAAGAAACTGCCACAATGGTACCCTTAACATGAGGCAAGCTTCAAATGTGGGGTAGAGGATGCATCTTACCATTTCTAAAACCATCATATGATGAGGTAGGTAATTCATATCTTTTTTAAAGAACGGGCAAATGCTCCTTCAGGTAGTGTGGCTCTCACTGCAATAAAGGTTTAAGAAGGGTGCCTCCCTAAATTCAGCTTCATTGAAAGAGTGTTGAAGGCAAATGATCCCAGAAAGGGTAGTTTCTTAAGTCTGATGCCTTTGACTCCAGTCTTATTGAAGAGTATAAGGAG